ACCTATAGCTCTGTCTCTCTCTCTCTCTCTCTCTCTCTGTGTGTGTGTGTGTGTGTGTGTGTGCAGGTGAAAGCATGCTAACACATGTGTGTCCATGCATCTGGAGGCCAGAGGACAATCTTGGCTGTCATTACTCAGGTGCCGTCCACCTTAGTTTTGGGGTTTGATTCATGTTGTTTTGTTTGAGACCATCTCTTCCTGGCCTGGAACTTATAGAGTGAGCCAGGCTGGCAGACCAGTCTGTCACAGGGATCTGCCTGTTTTCCTGTTTTGGCTTCTTCAGTGGTAGGATGGGAAGCAGCCTCTACTATGCCTGGCTTTTTTTTTTTTTAACATGCATTTTGGGGATTGAATTCTGATCCTCAAGCTGGCAAGGTAAACAATTTGCTGACTGAAACTTTCGCCAGCCTTGAGACACCGTTTTATCCTTTAAGTTATTTTACTTCCTTCATGAAGACAATCACTGTCTTCTGGAGAGTGAAACAGAGATCTAGAGAGTCTGAGAACATGCCTCGGGCTACACAAACAGGAAGGATAAAAGCAGCACTTACCTAGGCATCCCCATTTCCTCTGATACTGCAACTGCCTGCCTGTGTATAGAGGAGGAAGGTCCTTCAGCCTAACACTAGTATACCTCAATGGAAACACAGCATCTTCTTTAAACTGCTGCTTACATTTTGTTGGCTAAAAATTATTGGAGAGGCTGAGGATGTAGCTTAGTAGTAGAGTGCTTCCTGAGGACATACAAGGCCCCACATTCAATTCCCAGCACTACAAAAATGATTGGAAAGAAAGCAATAATTGAAACCATTCCAACTAGATTGGTTTCAGAGAAAATAACACACATAAGAATTTATGGGGCGGGCAAGATGGCTTAGTTGGTAAAATGTTTGTTTTGCAAGTGTGAGGACCTGGGTTCTATCATCAGAGCCTACGTAAGGAAAAAAAACAAAACGAAACGAAACAGCCAGGTGTAGTGCCACACGCTAGTTTGTAAACCCAGTGCTGTCGAGGTAAAGGAAGGCAAATCCCTGGGCCTCATTGGCTAGCTAGTCTCGCCTACTTATTGAACTCCATGCTGGAAGAGAGAGCCCATCTCAAAAAGACAAGGTGGGTGGTAACTGAAACACAACAGCTAAGTTGTCCACCTCATGCATGAGCTTACAACAAACACGAACTTGTACCCACACAAGCATGCATGTACACACAGGAACACACACACACACACACACACACACACACACACACACACACACACACAGAGTAAATAAATATCTTAATTTAAAAAAACCCCAATAACCCCTATCAGTGCCCATTAGTTACAACATGAAATGCAAACTGTAGTATTTTGAATGAGAATGGCCTCCATAGGTTCGGATGTTTGAATACTTGGTTCCTAGTTGGTGGAACTGTTTGGGAAGGATGAGGAGGTGTGACCTTGTTGGAGGAGCTGTATCTCTGGGAGCAGACTTTGAGGTTTCATGCCATTCCCAGGTACCAGTTAGCTTTTCTCTCCCCTGCCCCCCTCCTTCTCCCTCTCCTCACCCCTGCCTCCTACTCATGGATAAGATGTAAGTTCTTAGCTGCAACTCCAGTTCCATGCCTGCCTGTTGCCATGAACCAACCCTCTGAAACTGTAAGTTTACCCCAAGTAAACTCTTTTTTCTTTAAGCTGCCTTGGTCATCATGTCTTATCACAGCAATAGAAAATTGACTAAGACATTTAGTATAGACAAGACCAAGGTGTAGGTGCCATTACTATTCTTACTTAATGAGCCTTAATGCAGAAAAAACTTGGCACTTAACCATTTTATCCCTTTGCCTCAGCAATTTGGTATGACTCTGTGACTGAAGCCCAACCAACACTGGTTCCCAAGATACTAGAAATCCAGTTTATTCAGCCTTCAACCATTTGTATGTGGTAGTGGTGTGTGTGTGTGTGTGTGTGTGTGTGTGTGTGTGTGTGTGATGGGGCACATCCCAACGCACACCCATGATCAGAGGCAGACATCGGGTGTCCTCCGCTATCACTCTTTGCTGTATCCCCTCGAGACAGGGTCTCTCCCTGGACTTGGAGGTAGGCTGACAGCCGGAAATTCTTTTGTCTTCTCCTTCCACGGTGCTGGGCTTACAGACACATATGGCCGTGGCCCGGTTTTCACACGAGCACTGGGGATTCAAACCCAGGGCTTGATGCTTATGTGGCAGGCATTCTTACACTCTGAGCCATCTCCTGGAGCAGCCGTGTGTCTCGGCGCCATTGGTGCTGCACAGGCACACTGCTCCCATCCGGCCTGAAGCTGGCACATTCTGCATCTTCTCCTTGGTGCTTTAATAAGCACTGGGTCTTTGATGGTAGACTCCGAGCAGGGAGCCATTGCTCCATCTTTTAGAGCTTCTTTACTTGATCTAAATGACTAATCACTTAGAACATTGCTAACAGCCTTTCTCCCTGGCTCCCCATGCATGCTTAACCTAATTAACTGTAAATGAGGAAAATGCTATCCACATTAGAAGAAAATGTTAACCTATAAATTATCAGACCCTTTTTGTGAAGCTAACTAAGGACATCTTTAAAAAGCCCCACGCTGGGGGGCAGATTCTCAGTTCATGAGAGTCCAGTGCCTTTTTTCACTGACGCAGACCACAAAACCACCTGTTCCCAGTGACCACGGTCTCTGTGTCCAGCACAATGTCATTTGCTTCCAATTTACTCCCTTTGTGTTTGCTAAAACATTCCCAGGAAAGCCAGGCATAGTGGCGCATACCTTTAATCCCAGCACTTAGGAAGCAGAGGCAGGAGGGGATCTCTAGGGGTTGAAGGCCAGCCTGGTCTACATAATGAGTTCCAGGACAGCCAGAGCTACATAAGTGAGACACTGTCTTAAAATATATATATTCCCAGAAAACTGAATAACCAAACAGAAAGCCCTTAAAATGCCTCAGGAACGCACTGGGGCAGAAATAAACAGAGTAACATCCTTGCTCTTCACTGCAGAGATTCTTGCTCCCCATCTGTCTCAGAGGCAGATCCAGCCTGCAGAAGCCAACAGTGTCTGGACACCCTCAGTTCAGACTTCTAAATGACACAGACTTAGTATTGATTATGAAAGCTCAGCCTTTAGCTTAGGCTTATTTTCAAAAAACTCTTATAACTTAATTTAACGCATATTTTTATTTATGTATTTATTTTTGGTTTTTCGAGACAGGGTTTCTCTGTGTAGCTGTCCTGGCTGTCCTGGAACTTGCTTTGTAGGCCAGGCTGGCCTCAAACTCACAGAGCTCCATCTGCCCCTGCCTCCCAAGTGCTGGGATTAAAGGTGTGCGCCACCACCACCCGGCCCCATATTTTTATTAATCTACATTCTACCACGTGACTTTTATCTCTCTCCCATTCTGTGTGTCCAAATAGTTCCACATCTGGCTGGTGTCTCACCCATGCTTAGATTCGTCACAAGTTTCCTCTCTCTGCCTGGAAGTCCTGCCTATTTCTCCAGCTTAGTTATTGGCCACTTAGCTCTTTATTAAACCATTCAGTAGGTGCCTTAAACAGAGACACATCTTTACACTGTAAACAAATATTCCACAACACAGTTTGATATACTCAGTTGTTCTTGAATTGACCTTTGAAGGCTGAGGGATGAACAGTTTGGAACAATACTGTGTGACTTTCTCTGGAGAAACTCATATTTTCCCCAAGACAGGGTACCAACAACAGATTAAGGAAATAATTCCCCAAGAGTGTAGCTAAGTGAACCAGTGAGGTTACTGGGGTTACAGAAGCATGAGTAACTTAAAGCATGCTCAGCACCACTGAGAAGTCCACCCCAGCCTGGTGATGACTCAGAATACCTGCATCCCTGAAGCTGTCTCCACAGCTTGCAGGGACTCCACCAGAGTCTCCTCTGAGGACATACTTGTGAATCTTGTTTCAGGAGCATCCTCAGGAGCTGGTTACGTTTTGTGTACTTCCTGTCTCCAGGAGCAGATGTTTCAGTTGGGGAAAGCCTCTACACAACAATCAGGAAATTGGTAAGAGAAGGAGAGACATTGAACACAAATCATCCTCCCTGGAAGCTGTAAGCAGAAGGTCTGGAGAAAATTGACCTATTCCCTGGCCAAGGGCCAGGGAGAGGAGAAAGGATATGAAGTAGAAGTCTCCAGAGAAGAAATTCCCTCTTTTAAATTCTTTTTTTTTTCCTGTAGTGTTTTTTTTTTAATTTAATTTTATTTTATAATACCATTTAGTTCTACATATCAGCCACGGATTCCCTTGTTCTCCCCCCCCCTCCCGCCCCTCTCCCCTTCCCTCCAGCCCACCCCCATTCCCACCTCCTCCAGGGCAAAGCCTCCCCTGAGGACTGAGATCAACCTGGTAGACTCAGTCCAGGCAGGTCCAGTCCCCTCCTCCCAGGCCTAGCCAAGTGTCCCTGCATAAGCCCCAGGTTTCAAACAGCCAACTCGTGCAATGAGCACAGGACCCGGTCCCACTGCCTGGATACCTCCCAAACAGATCAAGTCAATCAACTGTCTCACCTATTCAGAGGGCCTGATCCAGCTGGGGGCCCCTCAGCCTTTGGTTCATAGTTCATGTGTTTCCATTCCTTTAGCTATTTGTCCCTGTACTTTATCGAACCTTGGTTTCAACAATTCTCACTCATATAAACCCTCCTCTTTCTCGCTAATTAGACTCCCGGAGCTCCACCCAGGGCCTACTCTTTTAAATTCTTATTCGTGGTTGTTCCTGCTTTAAATGAGGGCAACACGCTAGGACAGGCAGCTCTGAGGTCGAACGGACTGTTAGATCACAGAGCTTGTAGCTTCTGCTCCCTGTCCCCCCAATTAGGGAACACCCTCTCTCTCTCCAAGGTCAGCTCCAGAGAGCTGCTGTGACCTTACAACTCAGAATCGAGTCCCCTCACTCTCTTGTGTAGCTGTGACCAACTCCCAGATGTTCAGACCTACGACAAACGTCAACTGTATCTGGTGTTCTGTGACTCTTGGCACAGAGGCTGTGTCACAGAGTGTGGATCACCGCCCCGCCCCCCTCCACACACACCCAGAAAACCTGTGAGAGTCAGAATCCCCTTCGCTCGCTGGAATTGAAAGGTCTGTTTCTCCCCTCAGTAACCCAACACCTTGTCGCTCAGAGGAAGCTACAACTCTTCGTATTCTGGGATGTGAAGGGAATTGGAAGCTCTCTCCCTGCAGGATCCTGTCCCGCTACACACGGCCGCTGTCTCTCCCAATGTGCTCCCACTGCTGGGTCCCTCCTGGCTGTGCATGACCGTTATGCCGTCCCTCTAATAATGCTCTTCTGAAGGGCAATTCATCTCAGCTTCCTCTCTACATGCCTGTCCTTTGCCATAAGTTATAACAGTGACTAAGAAGGTGCAGCTGGCACCGAGAATTCCAGCTTCTCCCAGGCCCCCTTCCCTTTGGCTGCAGCTCCCAGCAAACCACAGCTCACCCCTCCAGTTCCAGGGGCGGCTCTGGTCTCTGGGGTATTAGGACAGGGCTTCTGTTCCCTCTCCAGGATTGCTGGGGCTTAGAGCTCCACTCCTCCCCAGGCTCTGGCGAGCAGGAGTAGTGGAGGCTGTGATCCCACCACAGGGGAATACCAGAGACCCAGCAGGCTTAATATCCACATGTGCGGTCAATTCTTGATTATCCACACCAATGATCTGTGACCCAGCCCCAGGTAATCCCAAACAACTGACAATCCAAAAGGAATTCCTCTTCGGTTTTGGAATATGCTCTGGTTTTGCTGTAGATCCCTCGCTGACATATGCATTCCTTGGTCGGTTATTAAAAATCATTTATGTTCCTTTAGTTGGGCACTTGGTCTGAGCAATGACTTGAAGTCGGCTTCAGATTGAAAATTTGCCTACCCTATTGACAAATGATTCCCTGGCAGGCAGTTGAATGTGACAGTGCCATATATTATATTAAGAATCATCTTCCAGGGGCTGGGAAGACATCTCAGTGGCTAAAAGCACTTGCTGCAGAGGCATGAGGACCTGGGTTCAAATCTCCAGCAACTCTGTAAAAAGCCAGGCATGGCTGCACACACACATATACTCTCAGCTCTGTGAGGGACAGAGACAGGAAGCCTAGCAGGGTTTTCTGGCCAGCCCGCCTAGCGCCAGGGGTCAGTGTGGTAGTTTGAATGAGAAGCCCCTATAGTCGTGAGTGTTTGAATGCTTGGCCTCTAGCTCGTAGAACTATTTGAGAAGGATTAGGAAGTGTGGCCTTGTTGAAGGAGGTGTGTCACTGGGGGCAGACTTTGAGGTTTCAAAAGCCCACATCATGCCAGTTGGTTTTCTCTGTCTTGTAGTTGTCCCGTCCATGCCTGCCTACCTGCTGCCATGTTCTCCGCCATGACGGTCATGGACTCTACCACCCTCTGCAACTGTGAGCCTCTAAATTAAATGCTTTCTTTTATAAGTTTCAAGGGTACACACACACACACACACACACACACACACACACACACACACACACACACACACGGGGTGGGGTGGGGAGGATAAGCTGGGTACATGTGTGTGTGTATGCTCATACTTATGCCTTAGTGAGTGCATGATGCATGTGCTCATGTGCAAGCTCACTCTTGCGTGTGTGTGTGTGTGTGTGTGTGTGTGTGTGTGTGTGGTGTGAGCACGCATGAGTGTGTATGCCAGAGCTCACCTCAGGTACTGTTTTTCAGCTGCTCTCCAAGTTGTTCTGAGAAACAACAGTGGACGAGGAACTCACTGATTCAGCTAGGTTGGATGGAGCCAGCCCCAGGGATTCTTCTCTTTGAATTCCCATAGTTCTGAGTTTATGCTTAGGTGCCACCAAGCCTGGCTTTCTCACGTGGGTTCTGGGGGATCACACTTAGGTCTTCTTGCTTGTAAGGCAAGCACTTTACCGACCGAGGCATCCCCTCAGCCTGGCCCTTCACTCAACTTTTTTGAAGCGTGGTATTGAAATGATGATGTAGCTCTGGATGATCTTGAACTCTTGATCCTTCTATCTGCATATCCCAGGTACTGGATTATAAACATGAACCACTATGCCCAGTTTATGAAGTGCTGGCTGGAGATGGAATGCAGGGCTTCCCCCATGATGGCAAGCACTATGCCAGCTGAACCACATCTCCAGTGCAGATTGCCATATTTTCCCGTGGATCTACAGGTACACACCGCATATCCAACCAATCTTACTTTCAGCTTCTCATCTCAGTAGCTACTTTTATTTGGGGAAGTTTCAATATTGAGGGGGGGGGGATGCTGTAGGTGACTGTGTTTGGATATGACCGACCAGAGACATTGAGAATTCAGGCCACCTGTGTTTTCAATGGTTCCGAGACATTAAAAATAGAAAAGATACCACAACAGGGGTGCATATCATCAGTGGATTTAAAATATTTACATTTAATAAATCCCCACATTGACACTCAAACTCTAGTGTTTATATAACTTCATTTGGGGAAAAAAAAAACATGTTAAAAGTCTAAACTCCAGGCTCTTCTGGGTGTGAGATCCAGCCACTCTCTTTCCGGTTCCTGATTCACACTCATATTATGCCAGAAAAAGCACTGGTTATAGGGAGGGCGGGTGTGTGTGGCTGAGCAGGCAGCTCAGAGGTACTTCAGTGTTCTGAGGAACCTCTTCACACCCAAGCACAATTGGTCATTGGCTACAAACCCTGTGGTCACAGGAAACAGTTCTCAGCAAGACAGAGGTATCTGAAAGGCTTACTGGAAAGGCATTAAATCCGTTTGTTTCTATAAAGTGTGTCTGCCCCATGACATCCGGAGGACTCCGATGGGAGCAGGGGACATAGTTCAGGGGGCAAAGTGCTTGTTGTGTAAACACAAGACCTGGGTTCCATACCTAGGTCCCACGTAAAAGGAAAGCTGTGTGTGGTGAGGCTTGACTAACCCTAGTGCTGCGGAGGAAGACAGGTGGACCCCTGAGGCCTCCCGGCCAGCCAGCCTCTCCTATTTGGTGAGCCTCAGGCCAGTGAGACACAGTGTCTCAATAAATACGGTGGACAGCATTTCTGAGGAACAGTGCTGAAGGTTGTCCCACACGTGGATGGACACGTGAGCGTGCATGCCACCCTTTTACACCTGTGCCTTCTCGAAATCACCAACCTCACCTCCATGCACACTGCTACTGGACCCTGTCCTTTCCTTGACATGCCTAAGGATAGGCGCTTCCAACGGTGTGACTATTAGGGTTCAGGGTCACAGGTTGTCACTTTATATTCTGATATTTCTGAAGGTAAAGCAGGAGGAAGAGGGACTGGGTAGATGACCCGGTCTGTGGAAGGCCTGCTGCACAAGCATGAGGAGCTGAGTTTGGATCCCCAGAACCCATGCAAAACGGGATGTGGCAATGTGAGTCACACTGGGGAGAGGCAGGTGGACACAGAGGGTCCCTGGGGCTTGATGACCTGTCAGTCAAGTTGATTAGCAAGCTCCAGGGTCAGTGAGAGCCCCTGTCTCAAAACGTGGAGTTGAGAGTGATGAAGATGCCCTCTAATGTTCTCTGGCCTTCATGTGCACATGCACACATGCACAGATACACATAAGCACATATATACCACACACACTTAAACAAACAAAACAAAGAGAGCTAATAACTAAATATTGTCCTATTATAATATAAATATACATTATGTAAATACATAATATGTTATATTTAATAAATACTGTATCAAATAAATATGCGCAATAAATAACAATAATAAATATATTTAATAAATAATATGCAATATATTCTTTTATAATGTAATATATTATTACATATAAACATTCTAGTGACATTTCACCCACTTAAATCATGCATGAGGATGCCATCTGACAGATTGTATCTCAGCACCCATCGCTTAGCAGCAACTTTGGAGACATCCTCTCTAAAGTGAGACGGTGAGATATAGATGAACTATAAGCATAGAGGTGGCATCTCTTCTCAGTGTCTTCCTCTATGTCTAGAACTTCTAACACTTTAGTCAAGGTCCCTGGTCTCCTGCGGGTCCTAGAATGCAGGGTAGTTTGGAACACACAATAGGAAAATACTTGGGCTTCCTTTGTGGCTAATTTGGTGCATTTGAAGTATCTGTCTAGTAGCTAGGATTACATACACCACAGCTCTGGCTGAGGTCCTGTTCAAACCTAGCTTTTCCTTTTGCTTCCTGGTGTTGTTAGGCAACTCTCCACCTTCCCTCTTCTCCTCTCCTTCCTCCTCATCTTCTTCCTTCTCCTGTTTTTTCTTCTCCTTCTCATTTCTTTTTGACCAAGTTTCTTTCTGAGTTCCCCATTGTATTAGTCAGGGCTCTCTAGAGGAAAAGAAGAGTTCGATGAATATATGCTATAAAATAGTATTTACTAGATTGATGTACATCAGATGGGCTGCTGGGTAGCCCAATGGCCATATGCATGTTGGAGAAGCTGAAACCCCAGTCGCTGTTCAGTCCATGAGGCTGGATGTCTCAGCAGTCCCAATCTAGCCCTGAAGGCCTGGAGGAGTCCTGAAGAGGAGCTGACCTTCAATATGCTTTGGAAGGCTGAGAAGTTGAGTTTGGATGGCAGCAAGAGATGGTGACAGCCACAACAGAGGGGTAGATCCACTCACCAGCAAGAAGCAAAAGCAGGCACGCTGTGCTCTTTTCTTGCTGACCTCTTTTCCTGCTGACCTCTTTTCTTGCTGACCACTTTTTAGCCAGGCCGTTGCTAGGAAGTGACACCCACTCAAAGGGAGAGTCTTCTCCAAAGTCAGTCCTTCTTGGAAACAGACCTACCCAGAGGTGTGCCTTTGAGTTTATTCCAGATCCAGTAACAGTGACAGTCAAGATTAACCATGACACTCATGTTGGTGAAATTATTAAGGGATACCAACTACACACTCATGTTTCATTGCAAAAAACTACTTCCCCTTGCTCTCCTTTCTATCCCCAACACAGAATTCTTGATTTTTTCTTACTTATTTGTAGCAGGGGTAACTCAGAAATTAGATACAGTGAAGCCAGAAATTCTTATGGTTTGTAAAAGGACATCCAAAAGTCAGTTCTTGAACACACACGTTTCCTGCAGGGGAACTTGTGGTTCAGAGGCATTCTCTTCTTTAGTGTGTATTCGTGTGTGTGTGTGTGTGTGTGTGTGTGTGTGTGTGTGTGTGTGTGTGTGTGTGTGTGGTCACTTAGCAAACATTTATTGTGGCACATTCTACGTAAGAGCTTTATATGAATACAACTTGCTCAAGCTCTGTGACACTTTCATAAACAGGACTTGCTGCTGGCCCCACTCTACAAAGCCAGGAAGTGAAGAAGCTAAGAATTGACTCCTTGGGAGTTACTTCTGAAAGGCAGTTCTTGTTTGAGAAATAACACTGAGGGACAGAGCCAATGCTTTATGGTCAACAGATCTAGGTTCAAATCCTACTCATAAAGTGGGAATTACAATTTCTATTTTGTAGAGCTGTATCAGTGTCTATGTAAAGTATACAGTAGGTTCATAAATGTTCCCGTATCCCATTAAGTCGGTACCTGCCATCTTCGAGACAGAGTTTGATTCATCATTTAATACTTTGGCTGGCATATAAGAGTTGAATAAATAGGGGCATGGGAGATGTCTCAGTTGGTGAAGCTCTTGCCTCACAAGCCCGAGGACTTGAACTCAGTCTCCAGCACCCTCATAAAAACAGAAAATGGCGTCATGTCCTTGTAATCCCAGAGCTGGTGAGATGGGAAGTGGGGGCAGGAGACTCCCTGAAAGCTCATGGCCAGCTGAGTAGGCCTGCTTGGTGAAGTTCCAGGCCACTGAGAGACCCTGTCTCAAACTAAAAGATGGAAGGCACCTGAAGAATAACACTGGAGGTTATCCTCTGACCTCTACGTGCATGCCACGCATGCATGCACCTGCATCCCCGAGTTTGTGCTTGTACACACACACACACACACACACACACACACACACACACACACACACACACACTTAAAAGAGCTGAATAAATATTCGCAGAATGTGCTTGCAATGAGGACTCTCTAGGTTTTGATTTAAAACAAAAACTTTATTTTATTTTGTATCTGTGCCCTCAGAGGCCAGAAGGCAGCACTGGATTCCTCTGGAACTTGATTCCAGATGGTTGGGAACCACCAAGTGGGTTCTAGGAAATGAATCCGGGTCTTCTGGAAGAGTGTGTTCTTAACCAGTGAACTGTCTCTCCAGGCCCTGGGCTTTGATTTTTGAAAAAACATTTTATTTATTTGTTTGTTTGTTTATTTATTTGTTTGCTCTCTTTCTCTGTGTGTGTGCTTACCATGGAACAACTACTGGGAGTCGGTCCTCTCATCCCACCATGCTGGTTCAGAAGATTAAACTCAGGTCACCAGACTTGGCAGTAAGTGCCTTTACTTGACAACCCTGATTTTTTTTTTAAACTGTTGTTGAATGTCAGAGGGAAATTTCCCTTGACTGTTTCCTGGGGTGACTTCATCAGTATAAAGTCACCAAGGTTTTACGAGTGCAAACGATGGGCTCAATGCCACCATCTTGTTCTCTTGTGGTCTCAGCAAGAATGACCCAGGGGAAGACCACAGAGGTCTCTGGACGCCTCTGGGTCCTAAGTGCTGACATGAATTATGAAAGAAGAGCTTTGTGCTTAGGGTGATACAAGGGTCTCTCACTCTTGACGGTTTTGGTGTCCACAAAGGGACAGAAATATAACTTTTTCTGGGGTCCAAAGGAAGGGCTAGAGGTGTCTAATTTCTGTGGAGATGATCCCCTAGGGGTTTCATATGATACAAGAAATTGACATTAGCATCCCCTCAAATCTCCCTGCATAATTCTGATCTACTCTTCACATGGTTATCAAACTAAGCATTTCCCAACACAGATCTCTATGTGTGACTATCCCATGCTTACTAAATTTACGATAAAACAAAATAGCATGGACTGGAGAAAGGCTCAGTGGTTAAGGCACTGACTAATAATACAGGCACGAAGACCAGACTTCAAATCCCCAACACTCATGGGTGGGCGTGGTGGCCGGCCTCTAGTTCTACCCTTGGAAGGTGGAGACAAGGGATCCCCGGGTCAAGCTGGCGAGTGAGAGTTTGCTGTAGTTTAAAAGCAGGAAAACTTTTTTAGTTCAGACCCAATAAACCCAGAGTTCGTAATAACAGCACACGGACTCACAGACTTTTATAATTGAGAAAGACCTCAGAGATAACTAATCTAAGCTCCTCACGGGTTTCTGCTTGAGTATAAAATTGGACACAGCTTAGGATGCTCCAAACTCTTGTTTTATTCAGTTTGGTGGTGTGATTTATAGACCAATTACAACCTGCCATGTGAAACAAACTATCAAATTTAAATGAGTCAGTAAGCACTCTGTTCAATCTGTGAGTCGTTGTATATAAAGAAATTGTATTTCTTTATAAATATTTTACATTTGTAATATTTACTTGGTAGAAAAATGAGACCGGATTTCTGTTCTGTTACCTAAAGAGGTCTCTGGGCCAAATGAGCACACACAGCATGGCATAGACAACCTCGATCCCAAATTAAGACGAAACCCTTTTTCTTCCATCTCTCCTTTATTTGCACACCACTGCTCCATCCCATTGTCCTGGACATACGAGGAGAGAGTGTGCTTTAAAGCTTCTGTCCTCTGGTCCAGTCAGAAGGTCCCTGGCTCCCAAACCACTCAAAAGAAATAACTGGTGGGAAAGAGGACATTATTGGTGATATTGGGAGCTTTTCCTAAACTTACTTTACTGGGGGACCCTGACTCCCGAGGGGAAAATGTCTGCAAAGATACTACTGGGAGCTCAGAGGAAAATATTATGTTCTAACCTTTTAAAAATTATTCCAACTATTAAGAAGAGTCCCAACTGTATTTTCTTTAAGCCATAATCTGAAAGGTACAATGATTGAACCAAGACAAATGGAGTGCCCTAAGCAAATGTCATGCCATAGATTTACCTACGTACAAGCCATTGGCATGGTTCAGGTCAGAGGTTAATTAAAGACATTGAAAGGTCATTCTGTGATTAGGTGAAGGCAGACTTTTAATAGGGCATCAGTCTGAGCCACACTGACAGAAGATTTATGCCAGGCTCGATGACATCGCCAAGAATCCTGCTGATAACAAGAGCCTCAATGTTGGTCTGAACAGAATGATGAATGAAGCCCATATCTCCTCACACTGCTCATTACAGGCTCTTTCACTCCTGGTGGCACTTAGCGGCATTTATTTACTGGGGTTTGAAGGTGTGGGACAGCATCCCAGTCCATCTAATACTTTTAAACGTACACTTGTGATATAAAAATGAAACAAGAGATAAGATTAGGTGTTTGAATAATTGCACAGCTCTGCTTCCGGGATTATTTTCACCAGTACCAACATTATCCATCCCACCCCCCCACACACCCCATGTTCTTCCAGTGTGTGAGCAGCTCAAGAAAATTAATTGTCTGAGGCAGAAGGTCAGAGGGAAAAAATTACCGATAAGCGTGAAACACGCTATAAAACAGAGCCTTGCTGAGCCTTCGATATGTGAACAAAAGAGAATGTAAAGAAAAAGACATACACACCTCCTGCCACACTTGGCATTGCTGTTCTTAGTTG